TAAAAAGCAGAAATAATGGTGATCAATAAGGCATCGGTGGTGAGATAGCGAGAAAATCTCGAGTGGAATGCGCAGGGCTTCTCAAAGGTAGGCAATCGGGCCTCTATAGCATTACCACGTTGTAGAAGTTATGGGAATGAAATTTGGACGAGTCTCAGACGACGCCGAAGTTCGCCTTCTTCTTTCCATGGGTCGCAGCTACTTGTTTCAAATATCGATAAGTGTGCTCCATTGTGAATACTGCAACCTCTACAGCGCCGTTGCAACACGTCCTCCTTTGGCTGTATGCGTCGACAAAGCCTCTTATTTCCTTCCCTCTCCCTTTCCCCTATTTGAACCGTCTTTTGACTCAAAGCGCCTATACGGCATTCTAAAGGGCCACAGGTTCTTCTATCCACCTCGAAATCGTGTTCATTGCCGTCATCTGGAGCTTATGCAATTCTTGAGTTGTCGTTTCCTCATGAAGATTCTCTGGTTTTCTTCAAATTGGAACTTTCAGTGTTGTCGCGTTTCCATAACAAAGCTGATGAAAGTTCAGCTACTGATCGTTATACATTCATTGGATTGAGGAAAAGAGGAGGATTTTCAAGAGAATGGTATTGGATTAACGGTGCAAAATGCTCATATAGAAATTGGAGTTATAAAAATAACGATCCAGATTGGCCGCTGTGGGAACACGCCGCCGGTGTACTGTTGCCTTACTCTTCTTTCGCATTTTCAATAAAATATGTTAATGAAAAAAAGCAATTCCAGCTTTATACTACATACTATACTGCTTACGACGAATGGGCCAGTGTGTCTGAAGCATGGGGTGGGAAAGTTATATGCCAAATCGAAGACTGCACTGTCGACAAAATAGGACTGTGATTCGCATATTCGTCTTTAGCCTCAAACTGATTACGAAGGCTATACTTATTGATAAAAAGGCTTTTTCTTGGAATGTGATCTTTCTGCTTTTCTGTGTTACTGGTAGCTCACAGCTTTATCAAAAGCAAGGTTCATAGTTAAAAATTGTTCCTGAGGTTCATCCCTGGGATGAACCTGTGAAAAAAAGATTGGTTTCTGAAGCGAAAGGGAATGCTTCTGTAGAAAAACCAGTATATCAAAAATGAGGAAAGACCTGTTTGGAAATGAGCTTTTCAGCAACAACTAGAATTTTGAAAGGATCACGATGACCACGCCGTTGAAGGGGGGACCAAGTTGTCGGTACCGCTTCAAGTATACGTATCTATAGGGACCATTGTCCTTCACGAGGCCACAGGCCATGAGATAATTTGCTGGGGTGTGGGGAAGTTGCTACCTTACCCTAAGAAGGCAGCCCTATTTCCTATATTAACATTTTCTGGCTCTCGAGTTTTTTGTCCTGCCTACATAGCCTCGTCATCAACCCTCCGACAACCCTCGATACTACCTCCTCGGGGAACTTCCTTCCGCGAAACTCTGTCTGTCTGTCTTTCTGTCGAAACAAGGTTACGGTGCCCACTTCGCCCGCAGTGCAGCCCACTGCGATCTCGAAATGACATTACAGTATCACTAGGTGTCAGTGGAGCGAATGATTTGCTTTGACGCTTGTTATCTTCAGTCTAAGCTGACTGCCGTGGACCAACTGCAAATTGTATGCCCTACAGACAACTGCGGCGTACATCAAACATCGCGGGCAGGCGCGCCGCGTGCGACGCTTGCGGCGTGACCTAGTTTCGACGGACGCGCGGAATAAAGCGCACTTAACCTTATCATACCATATTACATTCGACCACCTATCGAATACGTCTCCGTTCCGCTCTTTGCGACTCGTAGGATTGAACATCCCAGTAAGATGTATTACCAGAGCAGCTGAGAAATGAATAGCACTCCCTGCTGTTCAGCGCCTTTAATTAGTCGTTATCACTTGTTATCACTTGTTCTCAACATACATAGCAGATATACATACTTGACTATGTACAGTAGGAACCTTACGTTCATTCTCCTATTTGTTTCCGAGCCTCCTTCTAGGTCCCCGGACAGAAATCGGAGCTTTTTCGCCTGTATGCCTAAGCCTGTCTCTATGTGATCACAGTGGGAACTAACAATAAGAGTTCAACAGGAACAGATGGTTACCCTTCCGTTGGAGCAAGACTTTGCAACCACCTCGGTGACCACCAGAGGAGACCAAAGCCGTTCTTTAGCACAGACTTGTTTGCGATTTCGGGTGGAGTGAAACCATGTTTGTCAACGAGTCAAAAAAACATAATCTAAGCGGAGGATGTGTTCGAAATCGCTTGACTGAAGCTCATAATCACAAAAAAAAANNAAAAAAAAAACAATGTTACCCCCAGGGAACTATGAGGAAGTAAAACCATGCGAAATGTTTCTGAGTGTTTAGGGTTCGAGCACAAGATCAAATCGAATCGTTTACAATTAATACCAAATTAAATGAGCCACAACAACAAGTAATCAACAAGGGCACGACAGGCACCGTATGCAACGAAAGGCTATTCAATAGAGAATTACGGGTGTGGGTACTTTTCCCAGAAAATCGCGTCGCGGTCACCGCATCGGGACGGGTGCGGGGAAGGGAACGGTTTGAATTCTCAGTGGAAGGATACGGTAGCTGTCGCTGGAATTCGGGAAAAAGTATCGTTTACTCAGGGGTTCGAGCGTTTACGAACAACTAGGCATGAAATGTTATCAGCCGTTTCCTATACACTTTAATGTCACCTTCGCCTTAGAATCAGTTTCCAGTAGTTCTAGAAGTAGGAACATACTATATGTAAAGTGAGGGCTGTACAGAGATTGAGTAATTCATTACCTGAATATGGGATATTCAAGAAATTGCTCTGAAGCACAACCAAAGGGGGTTCCCATTAGAAAGGTTCGTTCTGTGAGCAAAAAGTATGGTATGCAAAGAAACATCCAAAAAAAGGTATCAAGAAGTAGTTCCAACTTATGACCGGATTTATAGTCGGATTTATCGCTTTCGGCGTTTACCCTTTCTGTAATAACAAAAGCTACATGTGTTTAACATATCCACCAAATTCCTGGCGCTTATCATTGAGTGCAATATTTACTTTTACTATTTACCCTTTTCGACGTTGGACCGCGTCCTGCTTTAATTCCGGGTGGATCTTTTTGAAAATGTTCTCTAGAGATGTTTGCGTGAACACAGATACGGTAGGCTCGAAAGCTTCTAGCACCTCTGTATCAAGCGCTTATGCCAATCGCCTTCCATTTTAATCTGGTGTAACATCATGTCACGGCTCACAGTTTGAGTTCACAATGAAGTGGTCACATAGGTTCTTCCCTAGAATGAATATGGGCCTCCAAAGATAGCACACGGGATGTGCGGATTTAGTAACGACTGCGACAAAGCATTAATAAGGGCTCCAAAAGAGCGGCTATGCAACTTGGCCGACGTACACACCTATGAGTAGTCGTATTATGACGGCTTCGTTGAAGCTACAGCATAAAGAATGGAGCTCCTGGAGGTCGAGGAATAGTACGCCTTCACGGAAGACCTCAGACGGTTACAGACACATAATCTCGTAGAACCCCTCTACTACTTTGCGGAGCCTTGCAACCCCTGAAATCCGATTTTCAGGGGATACGGTTTTGCAAAGGGCTTCGGGGATAACGACGAGCCATATCAATAAGCACAGATGCCAGATAACTGCCCGGCGAATCAAGTTACTCCTGGGGCTGCATCAGCGGAACGACCTACGAGAAAAATTCACTTCGAATCTAAGAGTGTTAAGCGGTAAAGGGCTAATAGTATGCGCTTTGACAATTCTATTTCCTTTTATTTGACCCGCCGGCAGTGTCGTGATTCTGTTCGTTACTTGTCGTCCATAAAGAAAAAGCTCTTACAGGAACAATATTAAGGAATGACTTGGGATTTTGACTTGATGTTTTGTTAACTGCTGTTATTTCGCCGCAGTATGCGTTCCGAAAGTCTCACAAGGTTGGCGATTTGTATACAAAACTTCAATCGCGGACGGAACTAGAACCCGCACCTGCGCGTGCTTCCCGGGAAAGTAGGGGTTCGAGTCCCGTCCGAGACTGAAGTTCTGTCCACTAATCGCCAACCTTGTGTTTCGGGCTTTGAGGTGAGAAACTAGTCAATTGCGCATAAGTTAGAATAGCACCTACCGTATATGAGAGCACCAACTCGTTTCGAAGCCTCAGATAATGAAGTTGCTACCGAAACTTGGAGCGGTTGGTAGATTGTCGATGGCTGAGTGTAGCTCAGAACAGTAAGCACATCTGGTGGCGATTTGCGATGAAGTTTCATCTATTAATGGAGCTGAGCACTAAATGGCGACGAATCGTTGCTAGCTATCGGCTGTGTCTGTAAATAACTGACAAAACGCTATGGCACCGCAGTATTGAGTAGTGGATAGTCATGGGAATGTGGTTCCGAAGTGTCAAGCAGCTTCTTAGCAGGCATTGTAGTAACAAGTGACCAGCACAATCATACACATGGCCCTAGACCTGGATCTTCGTCCGAATTTTCGACTAAGAGGACAATTGATTCGTACCAGACCCGGGAAGATGAAGGCACTTACATGTAGGCTAGCAACCGCATTTCATTTTTTAGACCTCATACGCTTTCGAAATGTCGTTACGATTTCGAGTGGTAGTCGAGTACAGGGCGCATCCCAGAAATAGAACAGAATGAACCTATGGTCATACAAAGAGGCCGCTGATAGGATCGAGGAGCACAAACTAAACATGGAGCTCACTAACGGTGAAAAGCCCTATCTCTCGATGCTTTATCACACCAACTCATCTGGTACGCGGTGGGTTAAGATATTTAACCGCTAACCCTGCAGCACTCACCGAACTGGTTGCTCCCACTTGGGAGCTCATCCCTATTTCCCTGAACGTGGGGTGGTCGCGTGTATTACAACTACTGAAGTTCTTGAATTTTGTCCTCTTAAACCACATTTCCGCATTCCTTAAAATTGTGTAACTGAGTCAATCGTAAGTGACCGACCTGGACATGATTCGTGCTTGAGCCGTACTCAGCCATAGGTACAATCGGTAGTACCGTCTCCGAAAAGGTAGTCACGACACGTCACAACAGCGATACGAAGAGGAGTGAAACTGAAAAAAGGCATTCTCGAGCTCATCAAGGATGTCATGCCCGATTTGTTCACAAAAAGCTTTTTTTCAGGGATCAAGGAGTTCCAGATCTATCGGTCAGGGAGAAATTCAAGTTTGGTTGGCCGTTTCAGATCAGCTTTGAACTTTGAGAAGTTTTGGAGCACCTCATCTCGCAACTGCTGTCAAGTGGCCCAGAATGCGTAATATTCGATTGGACTAGACGAATCCAGTAATGATCAGCACCAGTCTTGTACTTCTCCACCAGTTGTGATATTGGCACTGGCGAATGCTCGGCTGTCAGCACGTATTCGATCTGAAAAATTTGTTTCAAAAAAGGAATCGTTAACTACGTAGGAGTCATGAACGGTGTCATAAAGATAGCTGAAAAGAAATGTAAAAGGGATAAGATGGAACTGTGATAAAAGTCGCACTCACTACACATACGGGTAACCCGGACTGCAGGAGCAAGTCAGCTAAGCTTTTCTCATTGGCAGCGAATGCTAAAATGTATGGGAGCTCAAAAAAACTACGTCAAGCCGAGATCTATCCCTATTTTCCAATGCTGTATTGGTGCTCCCAGTTAGTAGCGATTTTGGAAGAAGACAGCACGACTTGGAAGGTCACATGCTCTTTTGAAAGAAAACAATTGATTAACTTGTCTGTAGGAATGCTTCCATTGCTGTAAAAAAGAGCATTCTCCCGTAAAAATTGTCGCTCTACCAAATTTTTCTGTCGGACAGCTATCTTCCACTTGTTATGAACATTCAGTGATGCTTAAATGGTACGTACTAGTACCTAAAGTGGAAGTTTTAGGTTCTGTAGTAATTGCAAAAATAGAGTTCTGTTACTGAGTTGTTTTCTTTAACTCTTCACGAGGTTGGTATTCAAGCTTTATTAGGCTGACCTTTCGGCGGAGTCGCCTAAGCCGTACGTGGAAGCTATTATGCAAAAATAGAATCTACGACCTACCATCCATCCCCTAAGTCAAGAAGTACCTCTTTCGATGCGGCCATTTCGGCGAAATACTCGAAAGCACTATTTGCTTGTGACCGCAATTCAATCACCGCACAGCAGCGCTTGAAGGTACAGTTCATGATAATTTTGGGTAGTCCAGATCATGACGAAAAACGGAAGTTGAGGTACATATCTCGTCTCCTTGACTGTCGTCATATCGGAGTCGGAGATAACAAACAAGGAGCCAAAGTGCAACCATCTCAAGAAGGAAACAATGTGTTACAACTTGTCGGCTGCCGGGCCCATCACCTTCCCACCTCAGAAACAACGCAAACAAGGTTGCATACTATTTATGTAACAACGTATGCTAATCTCTGTGATGAAGCGAATTCGAACGTTCTATCACAGAGCAGTTGAAGTAGGCAGAAAGAGGGCAAGCACATAGAGCAATATTAGCAAATATAGGTCTCACGTATTAAAATTAAAGAAGTATTACATTAGGCAACGCCAAATCGTGCTACGGAAAGGACTCAAAGAGGCACGCAACAAATTGCATTCCCACGACTCAGGCTATTCTTCGGTTACTAAGAATCGCTGGAAGCCGAGCATGTGCGAATGGAGATTCTACAGAAGCGTAAAACCAGTCATACCCAACATATCATAGAATTTTCTGGAGATCCCCATCATTGTTTGGTATCATGACTATTTAAGCTTGACGGGTGGGTGCGACTCATTCATTATAAGCTCCGGCCTTCGTTTACTCGCAAATACTCGCTTGACTTTGTTACTCGTTCACTCACAAGTATCCACTACACTCAATTACGGGTAAGTTAACAACAGGTTCGATTTTAGGCAATGACAACCGGAACTTGCGCATGAGTTCCAACTTCAAAGATGTTGAGCTTCAGCTGAACAGCAACTTGTCCTGACAAATGTCCCTTGATGATAGATGATCATAGAGTCGTATGTGGTTCTGCTGCCATGGACGGCAGGGAACAAAAGGTCACCGCACTCGCGCATAGGACTTAAATGGATGATGCGTTAGTGATCGCTTCGTGTAAGACCGAGCAGTTCATCGGCTTTTATTATCACCGAGCGTTCATCCTCATCAATTACAACACTGACCGAAGTTCAGCAAGACGTAAAGCTAAAAGTAGTCATATACCTACTGACGACCCTCACTTTGTACACAGGTAATGTGATGTATCGCAGAGATTAAGCACATCCCCTGAAACGCAGTAGAAGCATGGCTATCCTCCGCTAACTCTACCCTTGCTCGGTTGCCTCGAGGGAGCTCCGTTCTCCCCGCTGCCACATGCATGTGCGGCACTGCACTAGATGAGTGGTGATTTTTGGTTGTCCCGTTCCGCATGTTTCATGTTTCCCTGTTTGAGCCAGACGCGAGTAAACCCTACTGGCAGATCTATCCATAGAAACCCATCCGATGGTATGTTTTGAGTGGGATGTGTGATATCAAGAAGTAGTGTATATTGCCTGCTTTTATCACCTCTAATCACTTGTTTTCAAGTTCTACTCGTCCTTTATATTCTGCTCCTCATCCCCGTTCTGATGTGTGGAGAGAGCGCTCTTCGTTTAAAATTGCTCTCCAGAAGCCATCGGAATAATCCGGAATAGGAATAGTGGAATCGATAGGAAGTCTCCGTTATGGGACCACAATGTAAACTCAATTGTTACTGTTTATAGTAACACCTCGCACAACATTGCATTAATAACGCTTCACTGAATGATCTCTAATCGCTTGGTGGCAAGGCTGTTTAGCGAATAGGGAGCCAACAGCGGACCAAAAGCCACGGGGCTGCACTAACAAGTAAGGCTCCCGATCACTATGAGTTAGCCTGGTCATCTACTCGGAGAAATCTCCGTGAACCACGGTGTCCCTACTCAACGTATGAGGGACTTTTTGAGCCTATCAACAACCTCACGACCTGGGCTACGTCTTTTTGTAAAGAAGCAATTTTCAGTGTGAAGAGAGAGTTAGGCAGGGTGGTAACATCTCGAACATTTTAATGCCGCTCTCGATAAGATCACATTATTTGGAACGGGGAGCCACTGCTCACTTCATCTCCTTTTTGCAAACGGCATCGTGCTTATAATGCCCAACAGCGAAAAGGCGGAGGAATGCTGGCCGAACTTGACAGCACTTGCAAGAAGATCAGTCTAATGGTAAGACTGTGCACAACCGAGTCGATGTTCCCTGATGCTCCATTTGCGATAGACAGAATGAGTATCTGTAGATGCCCTAGCTAGTGTATGGCCTCTACGAAAGCAGGATCACCATGCAGCCAGAATCATTCAACGCGCTTTGGAAAGGGTGATGCTCGGATTTACCGCATTACACGCAGAATGGAACCATGGGTTCCGAACTCCGTCGGCGAACGAATATCAGGGATAGAGTGCTTACGCTAAGGTCTCGAAAGTTGGAGGGATCGGATACGTTATGTGCAATCGTGATGACCGTTGGACCAAGAGGTTCGGCTGGTTTCCCGGGACCAGAGGCGGCTAAGGTGACGGCGAGATTATTTACGAGTCATCGACAGCTTCCTTGCTCTCGGCATTATTCATACTTTGGGAAAATGTCGAAAATTTATATCTGCATGCCGACTAATTCATGAGAGTGGTGGTGGAGGTGGTGTAGTGGCAAGTGGTCAGGGTTTCGAACTCCATATCGATATCCGCCTAAGCCAACCAAGCCTTCCATCCCTCCTGAGTTGGTTAATTGCTACCAGTCTAGTCTGGGAGGATAAAAGCACTGACTTGTATAAGGGCTGGTCACCGCAGATCATTGTATAGGCCACATACGCACTCATAACCCCACTGCGATTCTGAGTGGAAGTCGAGTGCGGGGGCGCATCCTTCAGACGGGATTGATTAAAGCCAAAAACTTTAGGCAAAGTCCTTTATGAGAGTGGTACCCTAAAATCTCAGTTATGAGAGCACATCTTCGAGGAAAAAAAACGTGAAAGCGACATGTTCAGCTAGTTACTTGTAGGATTATGCCTACACCTTAGGTGCCCATCACTCCAATGTTGAAAGCTCTTTATGGCTCTCCTTACTATGATGATTGATTTTGAAAAATATTACATACGGATGCCAAAGGAAAATTTTCTACACTGGAATAAGCGAAATTCTTGCATAGGTTCTTCGGTCGGAATGCGAGAGCCAGCATGCTAATGATAGCATCGCCAATGCGCCATGAATTTCTAGGACGATTCAACGATGTATGAAATGAAAGCTATGCAGGGCGCAGTTTGGGATAATGAAAACCAAAGTAGTTGATCAAGATAGGGATGCCATTTCTCAAAGGATCAATACATTAATTGTGCATAGGAAAGGTAGCGATGCCTTTTTGCAGTAGGTATTCCCCGTCAGGTCGATCCCGTCTACGGGACTCGCTCCAGCATTTGACTCCCATTCAGATATGTAGTGACGTTTAGAATTCACATGGGAGTGCAGTGGTTCCTGGTGAGCAGCCCTTGAGCAAATCAGTGCTTCAATTTTCCCAAACAAGTCTGGCACCTTCCATTTAGCCCACCTCAAAAAATTAAACGCCTAGTTGATCAGGGCATATGTCAAGCCGGTGTTCGATTTTCCAACTATCAGTGTGGCAATACGCCTTTTTCCTCCTGTTCTCGATTCTTTAGAGAACTATGCGATAAAGATGGAGATGAATGTTGATTTTAAAAAAACATCAGAGATCAGCTGTTCCGTTACGGGTTCCGATTATAAGAGAGCACCTTTGCGATGAATATTTAATTTTCATTCTGATTCAGACAATATGCTGTTATTCATTTTGATGGCATCGACTCCTATTTGGATCGAGGCCGATGGGGGTTATCCTTCGTATCTCGAAAGTGAATACTATGCATGTTCGCCCTGGATCTATATTCACCAATTTAAAAAATGCTACATAGTAAGTAAAAGACCCACAAAATGAAATCCTGAATTAGGCTAATTGGCTAGCTTTCAGAAGTTCTGCATCGACCGTTGGTACAATGAACAAAAAGAACTTTGTACCAAATTGGGAGGAAGCATGGTGGACATCTGCAGCCCAGAAGAGAATTTCTACGTTTCGAGTAGGTGTCGTCACTCTGATTTCTTTGTCTCGATCCTTACGACAATTTTCCAATCTGTATCACTGTTTTACGCCGAGACTACCTACTCTTGTAAAATTATGGGTCTTACAACTTTGGCACAAATCACTTAGCTCATTCGAGCGATGACTATTTTGTACTAAGTACCTATTCGAGTGATTCCTCGAAGGTACGAGCTTCGGTGGAAATGGTTCAGAGTTTNTCCCCTGGAATGTATCTTTGGCCTCCAAGTGTGCCGTATAGTACGCTGTTAGGTCGAAAACCAGCCCAAACAGGGCGCAATAAGAGCTCAAAGACCGGCTTTGTCGGCGACCACACTGCAAGGCGGACGTGTCTCAGCGAAGTTGTAGAGGTTACGTCGCACTCGCAGTGAAGCGCACATGCTCATAACTCAAACAGTTGGGACCCATAGGGTTTGCGGAAGGCAGTTTTTGGCATTTTTCGTTTACCGTAGCCAGCTTTAGGCTCTGGTGCATTTATGGAAGGTATCTTCGAGGCTTCCTCAAAGTAGCAATAGCATTACCACGTTGAAAAAGGTATGGGAAAGATATTCGGAAGAGATACGGTCCTGCGCAATCACTAGGAAGCTGACTACGGTAATCCGAGATGACAACATATGCTTCCTACTCTCGCTATGAGTCACAGCTTCGCTACACGCCGTTGCAACACTCCTCCTTTGGCTGTATGCGTCGACAGAGCCTTTTATTTCCCTCCCCCACCCCCTAATTAGGCCAGCCGTCTTTCGACCCAAAGCGCCCTAAATAGTACCCTATGAAGCCTGTCGTGAAGCCTACGACTTCTGAGCCAGAGCTGTCACTACACCGCGCAAGTATTTTTCGACGCGCATTACCGCGCTGCGCGCCGTCTGCATCAATAGATACATGGTGCAGGGCGCCGCGCAGAGTGTGTACACAACATCTTGCCATTCTGTGTCATGTCAAAATACC